ATAACGGTACGGATAGACATTCCTGGTTAAATGAATCAGTTCCCTTGTCCGATTGTTGTCCATAGCTGATGGTCACGCATCGGTTCGGTCAAGGCCCTTCCTCCCTCTTTTTTCTCCATCGTGCCTAGAGCTTTCCCTCTCCTCATGCCCGTTCCACTTCTATGATCAGCCTCTTTCACCTTCCGTTATTTACGTTCTTTAATTATGCATTGTCTAACAGTCTAACGTAATCGGCTGAGATCTGGTCGATTCTGTCACTCGTTCGTGTCGCGATCGGTATTTGATTAACGATCCGAACCGGAGCCAACCCGATCGAAATTCTATTCTACGTCGAAGCCTGTGTCGAATCGGAGTTCCTTTTCTATTTGACACAATGACGAGGCGTAATAAAGCATCATTAAGCGAAATATCATTAACTACTTACCGGTACTTAAGGATGAATCGTATCCGAAGATTAGAGGGGAATTGCGAGGGAATAGTCGGTCAAGGCCCCTTATCCCTTTTCCTTCATTCCCATGATTCTCCTCTTCCTCCTTATACTCGTTCGGTCAACCTCCTTCACCTTTCATGGTCTGTGTCGTCTAATTACGTATTGTCTAACGGCCGAGTCTTCGTCGCGTCGCGCGCCTCTCTTTTAGCTTCGTATTATCCTTCCCTAACGAACAATTGACGAACCAACGAGGTGTCATTACGGTAATACCTGACGTAACATTACGTCAGCAGGCAACACCGTAAATGGCATTGGTATTTCAGTACCCACTGATCGACGCTGCGGTGCCGTTTACTCTCACCGCCACGGAAGTCGACGAACTTTTCAAACGATTCAACCTTTAGCCCCCTTTTGCTATATTTACACTTTTGTCTAAATGTCATTTTTATCCTGATAATTACATTCATTTCATTCGCTTATTACAGTGAAAAGTAATGACGTTACGTCAAAGGCATGCAGGGGGCATTGTTTTCCTCCAATGTTATTGGTATTCAGAGCTGCAATCGACGGTTCGCCATTATTGAATGGAAACCAAAGTGAGTCTATTGAATTTTGTAAAAATTTCAGAAAATTGCAGCCTACTGCCAACGTTGACCTCGTTTCGTGATTGATTGCCTTTAATTGCACATTCCGTTAGAGACAAATTATAGGAGATGCTGGGGTGGAAAAGGAGGATCCTTTTGAATTTTAATTACGAAGAAAGAGAACACAATGCAGAAGGTGAGAGTTTGCGAAGTGAGATTAGGTTGGGCGAGGTTAGTTTAGTTATGCACAAGGCTGGACGTTCGCCAAGGTCTCGTAGAAAGGGGACGGACAGAATTGACCTGACGGTCTTTGCACAGAATTGCAGAGTGTAATGCTCATTTCCTATATGTATGCGACTATTTAGATTACTCATATGATGTTTCTGAAACTATGTCACTTTCTGTACCTTCCATCAGATCGAGGAAAGCAATTTGTACAAAGAAACTGGCTGGAAGAAGTTGCGATTGAATTTTCATTCAATTACGGTAATTACGCGATCGACCGCGACGCCATTGGGAACGTAAAACACGATATCTTATGACAGGGAGAGAGTCGTAGAAAGATTGTAAGGTCGCATAAATTTTTCGAGTGTGCTCCTCCAGAAATATTCAGATATCATTATGTAAATGTAGGTATTATTTTGATCTTGCAGCACCTCTGCCGCGATGTTCATAGCGGATGTTAATATTTCAGACTGCTTGTCTTGTAACGATGAAATTATACATTGAAACTGGAAGATACTCTGGTGGCGCATAAAGAATGGTAATCAGTGCCCTTTTACGTTCTATACTTAATATAAGAGTTTCGTAAAATTTTATCAATCACGGATTAATAATTCCGAGTAAAATGGTTGATAGTCAATCGTAATTGATAATCAAATTTTTTATTTATTCGGATCAGATTTATTAAAATTCTCTTCATCGCGAAATAAATATTTAAGTAGGTATGAAATACATGTTTCACCTTCGAATATTTTTTAAAATTAAATGAGACACGAAAATTCTGATTATTTTTTAATTACAATTTAAAAATTGATCAAAACGATAAATGTAATGATACATGCAATATAATTTTTAGGAGTAATATGTATTTATAATTAACAGTTTACAATTAATTTTATCAATCGATTAAATCAATTGTTTCCAATCGTAAGCATTAATCAATCTATCAATCGATCAAATTAGGAACTTTAATTAAATGATACTTGATTATCTTTCGGATTGTCGTACACTTGGCTAAAAATATACAGGTTTTCCCATTAATTTTCAGTCTCTAAAAAAACAACAGCTAAAAATCTAATCATCTGAATAATTACTTTAATTACCTCATCTTGCAACTCGAATCGTAAATCATGAATGAACAGCGCGATTGGAAAGCTGAATCTGGTAATAGCTGAAAGTTATCCGGAAAAGTGGTCGTGTGGGAGGTGGAAGAAGCGATGGGCGCGGCTGTGTCGGTGATCTATGCTCTTACGCATCTCATTGAGGCGATAACGATCCGTGCGATCTGATCTAGGGAGTGGATTTAGGGTTAGGGCGATCGCGAAACAAGCCGGTAGAAAGGCACCGGAGCAACGGAAAAATCAATGGAATGTTTAATAAGCATGCGACACCGTGTTTTCCACGCGTTTACCTCTACCTCGATCCTTTCTTACGGCTCTCTGATTGCATGGATAGTGGATATGGTATCCGTTTTAGACGCTTATGAATGACGCTGCGACGCCTTTACTTCACGCTTAGCCGAATAAAACAGCGAATAAAATTTTACAATCTTATTACCATTGGCAGATTATTATATTAAGTTTTCAAAGATTCATCGGATAAATTTCAAGCGCGTTGAATATTTGTCAAAATGACCAGGACAATATTGATTAACGAGTGTTACGAAGGTTATCTAGACTCTGTACTTAATGCATTATTGCTTTCGAACTTGGTCTATCTTAATTTTAATAACAGCAAATAAACTTAATTGCTATCTAATACAGTGGCAATAGAGAAGGAGTTTTCGTTAAGTATTCGCTAGCTGTTTTTCATTTGATTAGAGGGGGTTGATCACAAGAACGAGAGCAACGAAAACGCGTTTCGTTGCGGTGAAAACAATGCGCTCGTTGCATCAGAACGAACGAATGCCGATTACACTCATAATGATCTCCGACGAATAGCGATGTCGAAAGGTTCTTTGCACACCGTGACGTGTCCGAGGTGATTTCTCTCTAATCGCCCAGCAGCCCACCGTGCATGCCCAGAAAATTTGCAACGGATTCATGGGACTAAACGGTTCGCTCATGGACCATTTGCATCTGCATGTCTCGTGCTAGCTCTGCAAAAAATTCTGTTTCTTCTCGTTTTCGATCGATCGAAAGAGAATCGGTGTACGGCTGAATCATCGAACGATAACTTCGCGGAGCTTCTGATAAAAAAGGAAATTGAGAAGGCGAGAGAAAAAGCAAGTCTGTAGTTGCGAAAGTAGGAAATTATTACTCGCGTCATCGCTGTAAAATCTCATCGATTGGTGGAACATTAAGACCATTTCTCTATGATGTACGTTGATGACGATTCCGCATCATTTAACGAGGAAGAGGAGGAGGGTAGAAGCCAGGTTATTGACGTTTCTCGTTGTTTCGAAAGTGTATTTCAATTAACCGATGATTAACGACCGACGAGACAGACGTTTCCAAGATGGATGCTATCGGATTTGAAATTATTTGCCGCGCTTCTTAGCTAACGACTTCGTGCGATCGATCATTTCACGAAATTAATCATTTATTTTCTATTTAAAAACATTTTTCTATTTTTAAATGTAACTAATTTTAACGTAACTTTTCATCTTTTCTACGAGATGATTTTCCCACTATGATTGTACGAATACAGTGACGATGGATTTTAAAGTTTCTCCATGGATCGGTGTCTCTTTCAATTTGCGCTAATTATACGTACATTTATTATCGCATTTAGCTCCTCTTCTAACAAATTTCCCTAAAGTTTATATTAAACGCTTCCTAGTTGTACTCCTCGTTACTTCTCGTTTCTTAAGTGAAACTTGCGTTTTCAATAAGAATTTCATTACCAGTTTTGTTTTACAGCTCTGTAAAGACGATTCATGAAAGTTTGAATATTTTTTCCACCTTCTCTTCTTTTCCTCATTTCACAGAGGCTGATTGTCAGTAGTTGTAAAACAATAAATTGGAAGTAAAAGTGGCAAGGTGGAAAGTAACGCAAGCGAGTAAATGACGCTTGGTTTTTCCATCGGTTTAGATATCTGAATCCAGTATTTTGCAAAGATGATGTAAAGTAACGTAATATGACCAACTAATATTTTCTTTACGGTTATTTTAGCAACGGGATTGCTGGTACAATAAGAAATCAGGCCACTGAAATGTTTAAATAATTGTAGAAGTAAAAATTGCACTGTACATGACAGGAATTTTTATTACATTGCACGAAACGCTGATTCATGAAAGGTAGAAAAATTCTTGGGTTTAAAAATTTATTACTCGATACTTTTACTACGGCACAAGCATTGCTTTGAGTGGCCTGTTACAAAGATAGTTTAGAAAGCGAATTCTTTCAGAGTACGGTTTTTGTTCACTCGTTCCCCTTACTCCACCCCCTCTCTTTCTCACTCTATCATGTTCTTTAATAAAATAGTATAACCTTTCGTTACATTCGACTCGATCGAGAAGCGATTAATCGGAGAAACTATTTTCAGAGAAGTGCATGACTGCGCACGAGAGATTTCGTGCTGCAATTTGCGGCCAGAGCGCAGCGGTTCGATCAATGTAAAAGACACTTATCTATTGTCGAGTACTCCATGGGTTTCTCTGATTCATGGAGAACGTCGAGAAACTTGCGTTAAATTTCATTTCTTCTCTGTACAATTAATCTCTTGTAAAAACCTTTGATTCTTTGTTAAAGTTTCTTATTTATCATTTTCGACGAGGCAAAGCTTTGCAACGTAATGCAACTGATTTCTTGTCGGCAGGTAGCTAGAGGTACGGAGTCATTTCGGTGGAGGTGCATTGTTACGCTCTCACGGAGTTCTGCGTGGCATCCGAGCAGGTCGTCGGAGACGAAGATAATGGACTTGGTGCCTGCAGCGTTCATTTGACTCGGCAAGAATTTAACTCAAAACGCTAACTGGTCGGTACACACCTCTTTTCTGCATTCTAACGTTCCACGCGATCGTCCTCGTGCATCTGCATACGCGTCTCGATGCGCCCGAGTATCGAGCCTACTCCTACAGGTAAGTACACTCTGACTGCACTATTCCTCGCCTTCCTTCCAGTTCTCTGAAAAACTTCGATATTAAATAATCATCGCACGTTAAAGGAATATTCTTTTTAGAGGATAGGAATCTAAGGAGTCTTAAATAACGCCATCATTTTGTCAATTTTACAATTTCTCCTTTGAATCGAGGTCCTTTAAACTGAAAGTCTTTATTTTAGTTAATTGGTAGTTTTCGCTTTTGCTTATGGGTCGAAATTTTTAATATCCATTGCATAGTTTAAAAAAAAAAAAAAGAACTTTTGGACGAATTTGTACCTTAAAATTAGGGTTTCCTGTTAGGTGACCGGCATTGCCCCCTTTCACCTTATTATAAATATTCGTGCTACTTGTACGCGGAGCAACCTGTTCCTAAAAGTCTGTTGAAAGGTTGCCTGGTCATCGGCCATTTGAACTGTAGGTATTTGCAAGCAAATTGTCCGTGACCAAAAAAATGAATTCGATCGAAGCAGCGAGTCCAAGCTAATTTGTTTGTTCGGAGCGATCGAGCGAGTTCGAAAAAATTATTAGAACCAGTATGGTCCCGGTAGTGGAAGATTCTATACGGCCGTCGGTGACTTATAATCTTGCTAATGTCGCCAGTTTCTAAGCGACACTTAGAAGCAAGTCTGCTAATTATCGAACAGGTTTTCAACCCGTTTGCGTTCAAGCTCGAATTTTTTCACTTTCATCCTGCGCTTTTCCCTCGCCGATCGCCAACTCTCGCTCCCCGATATCTCCGCGATCGTAATAGCAATAATTACTCATACGGTATTGAGATACATGTTGCTTCAGCGATAGTAGACTCGCGACGAGTTATAAGTCATTCGACTGTTATATTTAACTACATAGATACTATCAATATCCATCGAAGTGAAATTACTTCCAACCAGTGTCATTAATTTATTTACACAGTCGAAACTTTTGATCGGATATTTAAAAATCAATCTGATCAATTCTCCGTAAAATGATACGTTTCTCGTTCATTTCGCAAATCATAGGAGAAATATATCAAATTACAAAGAATGTTAATTTATTACATTCTCTTAGGGTTATATCTTGTACTAAATACCAGAAGAATTTTTTCAATCGTGTGCCTATAAGTTTTCTCAGATCATTTATAGTGTTATGTATTAATTAATGAGTTGCCTTTAAGTAACTGTAAAACGATTATCGATGCTTCGCAGCGCCTTTCACGAAAGAATTTATGGGTACAGTTATGTAAATTGCATATAATTTGCGCTTGCACCGATCAAAAATTTCAAACGAGCGCATCGCTGTTTATCGCGAACGCGAGTGCACTAGTGCACCAATGCACCAGTGCATGGGTGCCGGGAATGCACGTGCACCTGCACGTGCACAGTTCCCAATGCGCGAGATCGCTTTTCTTTTGATTCGATCGGTATCTTTCTAGATAACGGGATCAAAGACTATACTTCAGAAGCATGGCTGAGTTTCTTTCTTAAATCACTGATAATCCATTTTAATTTATTTATCGAACGATATCAGTTCAAATAGGAGTATGTCAAATATAAAGAATATTTTAATGTTTAAGAAATACTTTTAAAATTAACATGCGATGATATATAATTCTTCTCTTTTTTGCTCGTAATTAGAAAAAAGTTAGAAATATCATAGAAATTAGTATAACAAAAATATAAAATAAAAATTCTCGAACAAGAATATTGTTATTCAAAAGCAACGAAAATCAGGATTGTAATTTTTCTTCACAATTATGAAGGGCAGCCATGAGAAACCGGCGCAGGGCGTTGGGGGCCAATTATTTTTTATCGCTTTTAATTACAACCGAAATCATTCGATCTTTTTCATCCGTTTCATTATGAACTGGTTTCGTAACGCTCGGTTTGATTGACGAACGTCAAGCTTTCGTCTTCCAGTCGGAGATAATGAAGAGAGAGGAACGTCGGAATTGATTGAACTGGCCGAGAAGAAAGGTAACTTCATGAGAAAACTTGCGATTAACGGGTTTATCCTTATGGCGTGCACGCGAACGCGTGTTATGTATAATGCAACGTATAATTAGTCAAATTGGTGGAACTGACAGAAAGGGTCCTTGCGTGGTATATACCTTCACCAACTTGAACAGTCGATTTAACCGACTGAATCTCCTCTTCGGCTACCCCTCTATTCACCGAATGCACGTTTCAGCTGTAAAATGAACATTATGCAAATGTTGCTCGGCTGTTTATTTTAACGGGTTAAACGTCAACATTTAACGCGTTATTTTCATTTTATAAGGCGACAAGCGCGACAAAATCAGCACGGACCTCCTCGATATCTCTATTCTGGTTTTAACTTTATCTTCTACCTCGGCCCATAAATCTTTCCTTGCTGAATTAATTCTCTCTCGTTTGCCGCGTACGCGTCGAAGGGTTAAGAAATCGGTCAATTAAACATAAAGGTGTACCGATACATTGTATTTGGAAAATCGGCGCCTCGAGCGGGAATAATGGGTTAATCGCGTCTTGTATTTCGTGTTCCAATCTCGTTCTGTGCAGGAGATTATTACTAGATGCTTGAGAAAACTCCTTTAGCATTCACTTATTGCTATATCGTAGAATTTCATTTACTTTATCAGTTTTTTTAAATCTACACTGTTTATGTCTCCAATCGATCATAAGAAAATATTAAAAAGTAACACTCGTACTATATAATTCATTGATTGTGATTCATTCTACCGATGACTCTAATTCATTAACAGAACGGTTATGGCTATCCGGGTCAATGAGATGAACAAAAATGCGAGTTAAACGACTCGGAAACCTTCGTTCTGTTAACCCACGTTTCGACGCTTGTTTCACTCGAGACCGGTCTTCGTATACGGTCATCCGGAAGGTGAACGACACCATCGAAATTCATCTACTTACTTGCCTTCGTCCTCGAGGGCTGATTTCTTTTCCACGTACCTGGACCGATAATCTTGCCGTAATAAAAACTGACTCTGTACGAAAGCCGTTAATCGATCTTGTTCCCTTGAAAATGTTCCTTCTCAAGGAGGAAGAAAAAACGAGCACAGAGCGAGGAAGAAAAATTCGGACGATAAGGATACCTGTCTCGAGATTGTCTCGACAACTATCAATCGTGAGCGAACTGGTTCCGGGTGATCGATAGTGTCGTTTGAATTTTCGATAGAAACGATAGATAGATACATATCGAATCTAGCCCACAAATTATGATACTGTATCAAATAGTGTCGATACCCATTTGATACCTTTTTAAATTATAGATATTCATTTGTTATTTAATTATTTTAATATCAAACAGAATAGAGTATTAAAAATTACGAATGAAGAAAATTTTGAACAAAGTTTCAAGTAATAATAATGAAAAAGCGATATAAAATTCTTGAACGTAATTCTTTGAGAATGTTGTAATAAACGTCTGGTACGTAAGTAACTTAGGGGTATAATGATCAGTAAATAAAGAACATTTAATGTCAAACTATTGGTTTCTTAAGATTACAAAGGATAAAGTATTGTTTATTGGCATTAACCGTGGAACGTTATCCGGTATGAAATATTAAACGATATAGAGTTATCATTGAGAGGTTGCGACATAAAATAGCCGTGGATGAGAAAAGGATTTGCCATCGCGTGAGTGGGAGCGTCGTCGCCATGGCAAAGGTCTCCTCCATCCTGCCATGCCGGACAAGGACGATATGCACACTCGATCGATTCCTCCGATCAATTCTCCCGATCGAAAGGTTCTTCCCTTGTACGTCGATAAGCTAATCGTGTTTAACGCCTCAGGTGTACACGACAAACCTTTAGAAAGAAAATCGTGCCGCTTTTAAAACGCTTACCATCATTATCGTTATCGTCTATCTTCCAATAGTACGATGCGATGAATAAATTTGTCTACATGTAAAAAGAAGTCTTATAATTGAGCGTTGATCGTCAATGATTACTTGGCAAAATTGGAGAAGCAATTATTCGTATTGGCTGCCATCAAAAAGAAGGCTAGGTAAATGAATAATTAAATAAAAATGAAGTCGTCTCCGGTGGAGGAACACTTTTTCCACGGCGCGGTGTCGCGGTAAAATCACAGACGACAGGTTTAACGACAATGAAAGTCGCGGCTAGCCAGCCTGTAATCACCGGTTAGCCAGCCACTTATTAATCCGTCGATAAATAACGTTCAAACGTAGAAAGCTGTTCTGCGCGGCGGCAGGAGGTCTCGAATTAGGCTAATGACAATCGCGATAAGAATTGTTGCTCGTCACCGTTGTCGGCGAAGCTTTGCTCTATCAACGCTCTAGCTAATAGTAGATCGTTCCGTGTCGGGTCGATGGGTCAGGGATCGCGAAACGAAACGAAACGGAATTACTGTTACGAAAAAAGACCGATCGTCCGAAGGGAGATTGGACCGTTCGATAGAATACAAATGCAATTTCTTAACGGGACAACCGAACGGGCGACGACTGTCTGAAAATCGTTCGCCGATCGGACATTCCCGGTTGTGCAACGTTGAATATTAACTCGCAAAGATGAATATTAATTACTCTGAATATGATTAAACGCTCCCTTCTGGACAAGTCACAGGCTACTATTATAACTTTGTTGATGTTGCACAAGCTCGATCTACTTCGCATCTGGCTGAGTTGGATTGGTTTGCAGTTATGGAACGACAGGTTCACAATTTTTTCTTCTTTTCTTTCATGGTTCTAATGATAAAAATTACAGCATTGACCAACTTTCTTGCTAGTCAAATTGGCTGTGATAGGCTGTCATTTTTTACTTCATGAGCGGTGTTTTCGGTTTCTATACAAAAATTATATCGATCCGATTTTATCGATTGTGTCAACGCTTGGTTCTTATGAAACAGGTTGCCAGAGCGCAGTGTTCGACTCCGAAAGTAATCGAAAGTATACGGCAATCTGGATTGTATCGTGCTTTTTAATCTTTAATATGGAAATGATATACACGTATCGCATTTGAAATTTGATTTTAGAAAGTAGAC